TGCATATAGTCAGGAGCCTGTAATCCAGAGGTTGTCGTTTGTTGCTGTGTTACATATTTTGTTTTTTAGCTATGTTTTGTACAATAATTAGGCCGTTAGTTTTCTCGTTTGAATTGTTTTAAGAAGCCTTTAATAGCTGACTATGCGGTATGGTCGTTGCTCATTGTTGAAGGCCGTATGGTGACCAATGGCTGTTAACTTCTGTGTCATTTGGTCTTTTTTGGAGTGTTGTCTCTTTGGCATACCAAATCTTCTTTTTTATATATAGTAAAGGCATGATTGTTGTAAAAATAAATGCATAATTATGAGCATGTGAAGGTTTCTTTAATGGAGACATGTTTAAAACTGATCCTCAGTGATGATTCAAACAGGCCATTGATATTATTGCTAGTTTGAGTTTTTTCTAGAGTCCGAAGTCTTTATTAGACTTTGCTATGGTTGTGATATGTCCGCGCGCAGTCGATATAGCAATCTTGAAATTTTTTGACCGATATTAATCATGGGCGACACCTATCAGTCTTGGATCTTCATAATTCTTTTTTTATTCTATAGATCATAAATTATTTCATCCTAAACTATTTTTTGCGACGAATGTATATCTTTTATTCAACACATGTAGCATGTGCAGCACAACCATTCATATTTTGTTTTGTCCTTTTACTTTTAATACGTTCCACCTGACTGCAATACATAATTAAAGAACCTTTGTCAGCACGCTCATATTCCCCATGCCTCCACATTGTCACTGGACAAACACAATATCGCCAAATTCCTAAGTTAAAAGACTCATAACTCTACAAAAGTCAACTGATAAAAATTTTCTCGTGGATACGCATATTAACATATTATGTCCTCATTAACTACTAAGGTTCATGAAATTCTGTTGTGTTGTTTCAGGGGATTTGCGATTACAAACTGTTTCAATATTATAGTATATTTCGGCAAAAATTCTAAATTCAAAGGGGCATAACTCCTAGAAACAATGAATCATAATTTCCTGTCGATATGCACATTTACATAGTATTTCCTTATTATCTACAAAGTTTCATGAAATTCTGTTGTGTGGTTTCAGAGAAGTTGCGATGACAATCAAGTTGTGATTACAAACTGTTGCAGTATTATATTTAGGACAACATTCTAAGTTTACAGTGGCATAACTGCTAGAGAAAAAAAATGAGTCAGTATTTCCTGTCGATATGCACATCTACATAGTATGATCTTATTATATACAAAGTTTCATGAAATTCTGTTGTGTTGTTTTAGAGTAGTTGCGATGACAAACTGTTGCAGTTGTATATTGAGGCCAATAAGTTCAAAGAGGCATAACTCCTAGAAAAAAAATTAAATCAAAATTTCCTGCATTGACAAGAACAGGACTGACGAACGCACAGACAGACGGACGGACAAACAGATGGACGGACAGACAGACGGACTCATAGACAGACGGACTGGTCAAAAACATTACACCCCATGTAATAAATTGCGTGGGGTACAATTACATGTTCATTTAATTTTAGGAGTTTATCTAAGGATATGGCAACGGTGACCTCTTCATCCAATCTATCGTATACAAAAGTTGCACATATGAATCTATCTGAAACCAAACTATAGAAATAATTAAATTCCACACAAAGCTTCTAAAATTATAGGGTAAAAAAAAAACACATTTATACCATAGCCAAAATAATAACATTAAAGAACAATCAACAATACCATGGCTAAAAAAATAATAATGTTAAAGAACAATCATATAGACCATGCCCAATATTATAACGATGAAGAACAAACAAGTTGAACAATACTATGGCCAAAAAAAGTATCGTTGAAAAAAATCAACAATACCATGGCCAAAAATTATAACAATTATAAACGGCAATACCATTGCAAAAAATAACGATAAAGATCAAACAACAATACCATGGCCAAGAAAAATATCGATGAAAAAAACCAACAATACCGTGGCCAAAAATAATAACGATAAAGAACAAACAACAATACCATGAAAAACATAATAATGACAAAAGAAAAAAACAAAACAATCCAAGGTCAAAACAACAATACCAGAAATTACATAGAGCACCAGGAATTCCACCAAATACTGAGGCTGAGCACTTGCGCTCCAGTATAGTTTGCAGACCTTGCTCAAGATGTGCCATCTGTTCTGTTACCAAAGCAAGTAAAGATAAGTAATAAGTTGGAATTGAAAAAAAATAAAATAGTAAAGGTGACAGTATATTGGTCACGACAAATAGAAAATATCTGTAGTCGTGTGGTACACAGATAAACCATACATTTAGCAACTAAACGAAGACGACGTTGTTAAAACTTCGAAGGAATCATTTCAACTTAACCACCTCGAAGCCTCAATAAAGCTGTCCCTTGTTAGCAGTAACACATTATCAAGAAATTGTAACAGGATATTCAAGCCCCAGAATATTGTATTAACTTATACCTTATACTTATACTTAGACATATTACCCCATTCATATAAATGAAAAGTTCACACTAGGAATTTTGAAATCATCTGTTTTGTCGGAAGGTTAAATTTTTGAAACATCTCTTATTGTCAGATTCTAGATATGAGACGAAATTGTATTTGTGTTACATGTTATTTCAAATTCAATTGGTAAAGATTCAGGATAATTGTGTGTTAATTGAGGATTTCTGGTTGCTTTCTAAAATTTATTCACGACTTGAACATAAAGATCATGCAAAATTGTACAGACACCACTCATTGGTTGACTAAATTTTGGTCACATCTTTAGTGTTGTTACGGTCACGTTGACGTCATCACTTTTGTCGATTTTTTATTCCTGCATTTGGCCAAATGTATTCTTGAATCCTAACTGTGATTCTGGTGCAGGAAAATTGATTCCGTTAATTTCATTTGAAATTAAATGAGTGTAAAATAAAGGCAACAGTAGTATACCGCTGTTCAAAAGTCATAAATCGATTGAGAGAAAATAAATCCTGGTTACAAACTAAAACCGAGGGAAACACATCAACTTTAAGAGGAAAACAACGAAACAACAGAAACACTGAAGTGCAACAAAAACAAACGACAATGCAACACACACAGAAACGAACTGTAGGATAACAACTACCATTTTCCTGACTTAGTACCGGACATTTAAAAAAAAAAGTCCCTAATCAAATGGAAAATCAAAAGCTCAAACACATCAAGCGAATGGATAACAACTGTCATAATCCAGATTTGGTACAGGCATTTTCTTATGTAGAAAATGGTGGATTTAACCTGGTTTTATAGCTAGCTAAACCTCTCACTTGTATGACAGTCGCATCAAATCCCATTATATTGACAACAATGTGTGAACAAAACAAACTGACACAAAAGGTAAAAATGTCACAATTAGGGGTACAATGTATTTTATAAAAATTACAAGACTATTAATATGAAATTGTGTTAGTAATAAGATAATTAGTTGTATTATCTAGCTATGTGCACTCTCTTTAAATATTGATGTCAAAATGTTATAATCCCGGCCCTGCAATATAGAATATCTAAATGCTAAGTAAAAAATCAGAATAATTTGATTAAAATTAAAGAGACCAAAAATCTCTACGATCTCTGACATGTATATATACACATGGAAAACAGTATTGCAACACTTTGATTTTTTAAACCTTGGAAAATCAGCCTCCTTTTTTTATAGATTATGATAGAATATTTGTATAATAATATTGAAACACTTTAATGATAACATTGGCATTAAACAAATTAAACAATGTATGAAAAAAAATGTTTAACCTCAGTTTTGATAACAAAAATGAAGTTATTTTTGTACCAAAAAATACATTTTACAACTTTTACTGTAATCGAACTTTACAATGTCAGACATTTTAAAATAAATCTTAAAATGATTGTTCACATCATGGTTGAACGTTATACGCCAAAGAATCAATACTCGGTGCAGCATCCATTCACACGGATAACCACCTCTTAGCGTCTTCTCGTGCATGCCACCAATCGACGAATTTGTTGCTGAGTTAACCGCATAGTTTATTTCATGAAGTGTTTGACCTCGGGGTGTCCTTCCACACATTTTACGCCAAATAGGACCACTATATGCTCGATATGGTTCAAATCCGGGCTACGATCATGCCAAGGAAAATAAACCTACTTTTATTGGACCAATGGATTTTCCTCCAAGATGCTAATTTCCGACGTTGGCTGGGTCTGGACCACTTTATGTCTGTTTATAGGCAAAGGTCACCAAAATGGTCTTCTCGCACGATAACCAGTAGCTATTAGTCGATTTCGAACAGTTCTTGTTTAAAGTCTCCTGTATGGCAACCACTCTCTTTTAATGATTGTACTGTTTGCATAGGGTTTTCTTCTGACCAACATTCATAAGAGTTTTTCCCTAGCTGATGTTATTGGGGGTCTTCCTGATCTCAGTAGGTCTTTAACATCATTTGTTGCTTTATTTTTTTTTTCTTTTCACAAAACGACTTATAGTGGAATGGTGATGACCAACAACACGTGTAATTTGTCACATCGACATACCTGCTTCTCTTATATTGATAATCTGCCATCTTGCTGCAGTTGAGAGTTGTGGAGGACCCATTACATGGTTTCAATCAAATAAATTTACAAACTTGGTTATCAAAAATGTTGAAAAGAATGAGGATAAAACATCTATTTTGTTGTTTACGAGTACAGTAGCTGCATGTGCAGATTAGAACTTATCTAGTCGACATTTATTGATTAAACTCAGGTGAGATTTAAAAACTAGTTCTATTTCAATAAATTATATCACAAAACAATATAGAGTTTTTTTATTATTTGAATTTCAATTCGGTGTTGCTTTACTTTTTTCCATGTGTATATATATGCATTGCAAATATAGAGTTTAAGTAAATATTTTTTTAAACCAAAAACAAACTGTGTTGTATGTACATTAACACACAACTTGAAAATGCGAAACATTTACCAATTACTTTTTATTCTACAAAATAACAAAAAATGCATCGATGGATTCTCGAGAACATTATCTGTTTGTCAATTTTTGCATTTGTATACATATACAGATTCATAAAGGTTATTAATAACAAACAGTTTTGTAAAGTCGTTGTTGAAACAAATTCCATACGGACGGTTAATGTCATTGTCTTTGTTTATCATTTCCTCACAGTTTTCCCAATCAGATGACATTCTCTGTACGTTGTTGTTGTAGTTACCACCATAATAAATGTTTCCTTGTCGATCGCGTGTTATTCCTGCTGTACCTGAAACGTCCTTACTGTATACAAGTGTTCCATCTAATTTGACACAAAGGAGTTTGTTAGCACATCTAACAATGAACTGCTCGTGAATATCATCGTATGACATAAAGTAAATATAATCAGATCCCAGTGTAATAGTTTTTAGAATTTTCCCATGGCTGTCTAATGTTTTGATTATACCATCTTCCCCACCAACGTAAATTCTCTCACATCCAGCAGTGATACCATAACATTTAAATCCAACTTTAACTTTATCACACTTTGACATCTTTGTAGTGTTTATGAATTGAATTGATTTCTCGTCTGGCAAGGTAAAAACAGCTCTATCTGTACCTGGAATCACATCAACATCAAAAGGATCATCGGAAAACGTTATCTCTGTCTCGTAATCCTTGTAGTCTCTGTAGACATAGAGTTTCGGATCTAAGGATGAATAATTAGCCAGGAGCAGCTTATTATCACCTGTGACACATATATCAATTAAATTATAATGATTCTCTGTTTTCAATTGTAATTCTGCATCCATTTCAAACCCAACAATATGTTTTGTTGATTGTGCCAAGATCTGGGCCTGTTGAAATTTCTTTTGCTTGTAGTGAATTTGACAAAAGCGAACAGACTCTGACAGTGTTCCAAAACATTCAAGTTTGATATCTTTCTTTTCATCAAAGGTTATTTCGATTTCTTTTGAATTTGATATCAACTGCAGTACACTAGCTTCGATGCTTTGAATATTCGCTACTTGTTGATGCAAGGAAATGAACAGCTGATTATCGGACCCATGATCTCTCAGGGAACCAAGTTCGTTCTCACTTGCTTTTAAGCTGCCCAAAACTTGTGATATTTCTTCCTTTTGTTTGTTGATTTTGATCTCGTGTTTACGATTGAGAGATGACAGTTCGGCGTATAGATCTTGTTCAAGAATATCTATTGGTTCCAATAATCGAGATTTGACTTCAAGAATCTGTTTGGTTATGACTGATTTAGTTTTCAAAAGTAATTTTAAGTTCGATTCTCTGTTACCGTGTAAATCATTTAAGGTTGTAATAAGATGCTTTATATCCGCCATTATGTCAGTGAACAATGCAGAATTTTTTTACATGTTTCGATGCATGTTCTAATGGAAGAACATTTTCACATTTTCTATGGTCTTTAGGAATGCAGGCTCTACAGCAAACACTATCATGATCTGTGCAGTAATAATCTAAAAGCATATCTGGATGGATTTTGCAGATTTTCTTCGCCGATAGTGTGATATTGTAACCGACGGACGACAAATCGATAACCTGATGAGATTTGAATGCTTTAAAACGAACATGTGACTCTGCACAGTCTGAACAGAGTCTTTCCTCACAGTCAAAACAATAGTTTGTTGCTGAAACCGACTTATTCTCGTCTGTGCACGGATCACAGAATCTAGCTGTAGCCATTTCTGCATTCTGAAACATAGATAAATGAATATCATCGTGTAAACATTCAAACATACTCTAAATAAAATGATTTTTCCTTGGGTTTTTTTAAAGGACTTTGGAGAAAACGATTATAAAGTTCTTTTTATGTTTCCTAAAAATGGATCGTCTACCTTTGGTCATAATTATAACTGTTTACAAATCTGGAAATTTTAAAAAATACTAAGGATGTTCTACTCCAGGAATAGATTACTTTAGCTGTATTTGGCACAACCTTTCAAAATGTTGGGTCTTCAATGCTCTTCATCTCTCTATTTTAGTTGTCTTTTTAACGTTTATGATTCGAACGTCACTGATATGTCTTTTAAGATAAAACGCGCATCTGACGTACACACTCCAAAGCCGAATATTTACGATGAGCTTATTTGCAACCACTGGGTCGATACCACTGCTGGTTAAGGGTCCTCCCAAGGGTATCGACAAGACAATAGGGATCACTAAAATCTAAATAAAAGCTTAGATCCAACAAATAAAAGAACCTCAAAAATGCCTTTTTGTTTTAAATTACACAAAGATTATTTTTGAACCTTTTAAACTTTAATGTAGACCAATTTGAAGCCAGGCCCCATGATCAAAAATATAGATATACTGTAACATTCAACATTATATCAAAGTAGGCCAATAATTAAATGTAAAATGAAATCAAAGAACGTTTATCTTTAGACCCATTGGACCTAAATATGGATCAATTCGAAAACAGGGCCGAAAATCAAAATTCTAAATACCCGGTTAGATTAAGCATATAAAAAGCATGGTACCTTGTGGTAAAATTTCATAGAAATCTGTCCTCTTATACACAAATTATTGTCCTGAATCATGAAAAAGTCTTGTTATTAATCCTTTTTGGACCCGTTTTACTAAACAGCTACATGTACAACTATAACGCCGAAAATAAATCCCAACCTTTCTATTGAGGTAAGGAACCTTATTCTAAAATTTCATACAATTCCATGCACTTATATTCAAGTTATTGTCTGTCAAATAGAAAATAATTGTTTTTAATAGACCCTTTTTTGCCGCTTATGGTATCTATGATGAGTTTATTGCCTATAATGGTATAGAACCTTGTGGAAAAATTTGATAGATATCCATACATATATAATCAGGTTATTGCCTGAATACCAGAAACAAAGTTGTTTTGGCCCTTTTAGACCCCTACTCATTAAAATTGTTTTAACCATGACCCTCAAAAATCGATCCCAACTTTCCTTTGAATAATGGAACCTTGTGGTAAATTGTCATAGAAATTTCTAGTCAAATTATAGTCTTGAAACATGAACAATTCTTGATTTGATGCCCAATTTTATTTCCTAATTACATACGACAATAACCTCAAAATAAATCCCAATCGTCCTATTGTGGTATCAAACCTTGTGCTCATATTTAATAGTTATCCATACGCCTATACTCAAGGTATTGTCTGCAAACCAAAATGACTTCAGACGCAGACATCGCCATTAGATAATACGGACGCAAATAATTTTGCAGTGGTGTAAACATGATAAAATCTAAAAATGACTGCAAATAACGGTAATGGAGTTGAACCACTAATTCATAGACCTATGCTTTATATGTTTATTCTTAAATTTTAAGCTTAAATGGCTACTTTGTTTTTAATTTCAAATATAGTGGCAGTCATTTTCGTGTCAACACTATTCTTCATCCTAACTTGTTCTAAAATTTCCACATAATTTGTTTTGCATATTAGAGAGCACTAGTTTGTGTACAAATCAAGTACTTCTTATCTGAACAAAAAGGCAAACGTGCCCTAAAACTATTGTTACATGTAAATTTTCTTAAACCCCAATAAACACCGAGCAAGGACTGAACAGTGATTTCAAGTCTATAAGCTTTAATTCTTTACACAAAATTTCCCAAATGTCTTACTATTGGCAAAAAGTTATGCGAAGAACTGTTCCGTTTAAGTAGTTTTTAATTTTTTGTATACTCTTTCTGACCGGTCCAGAGTTCAAAATACTTTTGTTTGAGAGTTTTTGTAGTTTTGAATTTTGTCTTTCATATATGTATAAGACTTCAAACTTTCTGAACCTGTGAAAAACGGAATAATCCGCCGAAATAGTTAACTTCTGAGATCTTTTCATTGCGATTTAGTTATGATTCAAGTTTTTAGAAAAAAACCTTATAAATTATAATAGCTTTTTCAGGTCCAAAACTGAAAAACGCTTTAAAAGCATAAAAACACTTTAGAAGCATCGATATAAAAATGAAACTGTATTGTATGTCTGTCCCTTTGCGAGAGAATCATGAAGCGTTTCTTGAATGTTTGACAAAGTTAATGATTGTAAGATATTTAACTAAAGACTGTTTATTTTATGTTGATTAAAAAAATACCATTTATCAGTAAATAACAGACAACTGCAAAATGGAACAACACTTTTTTTTCTTCTGAATCTTGGATTTTCATGTGTCAATATCTGACTGACAAGACAAAATGAGGACTGGTTATTTAACTTATACAAGTTATTCCAAGAATCCCAACGGCAGCCGCCATTTACAGTAAGTAATTTTTCCTAGTTTTATTTTATTAACACGAAGCGAAGAGGGTATGACTCGTCGTGAGTCATTAAAGTAATACATTCATAACATTCATGTTATTGCTAATTACAACTGTCAATACAAACTATAAAAAGGTACTATAAACAATTATGATTCAAGAATTTACCAAACAATAAATACAATACTTAGATTTTTTTCAGCTGCCAAACGAAAAAAAAAGCATCACCCAAGAAATTTTTCTGTATGTTTGTGCCTTTGCGAGAGCATCATGAAGCGTTTCTTGAATGTTTGAAAAAGTATAAAAAAATGAATAAATCAACCCAAGACTGATTAATTTATGTTTATACAAAAACAAAATAGTATAATACAGAAAAAATGCAAAAATGCAACAGAAAAAGATCATTTCTCAATCTTCAATTTTTAGATTTCTTGTGAAGAATAATTGACTTACTAAAAGAAGATGGGACCGGTAGTCTAATTAATAAGATAGTACTTACAATAACCGATGTTCCGAGAATCCCTGTCGCAACCCTTTGCTGTAAGTAAAACAATAAGTTGTAATGCAACTTCACCTTCTCTGAACACTTAATGCAACTAACTTATTCAACTGCCGGCTAATAGTTTTGGTAAGTTTCAATCGATTTGCACTTTTCACACAGTGCATTTTATTTATATATTGCTATTATGGCAATATTTAAACAACATGAACAATGAGAGATCTATACTTTATGAGCCCACATTCACTGATCACGAATAAATGTATGGAAATTATTTACTTCATAATTTATAATTATATTGTGATACAATTACAGGAATGAAATGGAAATTGTTAAATTTAAAATTTATTTTCGGTTTCAACTATGTCAACCTACAGAAATTCACATTATATTGTTACAATGATTATAACACTAAAAAAAACGATGACGACTTGAAACTATACACATTTAAAAAAAAAATTAATATTGACAGTGGCAGCTGTATTCTTTTTTATAAGTTATAATAGTTTCTTGAAGACAAAAGTACGTACACACTTACCTGATTTAAGATGTCTGAACAAAGTTCAAGTTCGTTGTATGGAAAGCTGTATGAAACAAAGTATATTTCTTCCTGAATGAAAATACATGAATGTTTAAATACGACAGCTGTAATTACTAAGTACCTGTTACTGTTTTAAATTGAACAAAATAACTTGTACTAAGTATTATGTATAACAGGAATATTTTTGCATATATGAATGGTTACTCACAAAATGAAAAGCAAGATAGAAACGGACTTGCAAAACGTAAAATAACAACAATACTGAACTCTGAGGAAAGTGCAAAACGGAAAGTCCATCGGCAAATAGCAAAATCAAAAGCTCAAACACATCAAACGTATGGATAACAACTGTCATATTCCTGACTTTGTACAAGCATTTTCTTATGTAAAAATGGTGGAATAAAACCTGGTTTTAAGGCTTGCTAAACCTTTCACTTGTAAGACAATCGCATAAAATTCCATTATATTGTCAACGATGTGTGAATAAAACAAATGATGGAATTTAAACTAAAAACTGCCAACCATAGAGTAAGCAAATAAAATAAAATTACTTGTGCTATACGTTTTGCGCGATATCTAATAGGTTCGAGAATCAGTAACCATCATTCATTAATCTATCTACTAAATACATGATTGCCAAATTAATCGAGATATTCAATATGCATTTTACAGTTGTGAGTAAGATATTTGTTGAAACGTACAGAGAGCGCATTGGATGCAACATATACATTTTCTTGTAATTCCTGATTGCTTTTATTAACAAGAGGCGAAGAGAGTATGATACGTTGTGGGTCATTAAAGTAATATATTCAGAAAGTCCATTTGCTTTGTCTAATTGAAACTGTCTTTACAAACTATGAAAGTTACTATGACCCATAACAAACCTATACTGTTACTTCAATGCAATGAAAAAGATATCACACCGCCTAGAACATTTTGTGAGAATATGCTGTGTTGTGCTAACCTATCAATGTACAGTAAAACCTGTGTAAACCGGCCGGCTACGGGACTATGAAAAAGGGCCGTTTTGGACAGTGAGCCGGTTTATTCAGGTTTCCATTTTGATCGGACGTTCATGACTTGTGACGTCCGATATATTGCATGCGAAAGTTCTTTCTGATTGTTAATTATAAACTGATAAATATTTCGTATGATCGTTGTTTTGAATCTTCTTATTCATTGGCTATATAAATTGTTCCTCGAAATCAAAAAAATAATATTTTAACCATTTTTTCATATCCTCGTATGTCAAATAAACCTCGGTAGCATCAGTATTCGACTTGTCAGTTACACTTTTACCTTGTGTTCATTATTTTCATGTGCATCATAATCCTCGCGTTGTTTGAATTGTGACACGAGAGTTTCGTTTTACTTCCATCACTTTTTTCCGATGTTGATATAGCCGATGAAAAAGAAAGACATTATTATATTGTTTTATTAAATTAATTTCCGTCAAAAGGTTTTGAATGTAGATGCATGCAGTAAAAAGTCTTTTGAAGTAGCTAAACAGATGTCTCCGACTCAATTCTTCAATGAGTTTATCTAAATCTCCAGGCATTCATTTGATCTGCTGACAGCGGAACGAGAGCTCCGGTTGATAATTTAAAAGTACGTTTCGAACATCGCAATATTTACATCTACTCATCATTTCGATCTTTTGTATCACTATCACTATCATAACGTTAGCATTGTATGATTTACTGTTACAACATATGGTCAACAATAGAAAAAGAAAGCAGCTTGTGTGAACATAAAACTAAAACCATTCGCAAATATATGGTAATTATTTACAAGACTATCTTACCCATGTCGGGTTCGTCTTATAAATTTTGTATATCCAATGATTAATGTTTAAAAGATGTGAACAAAATCAGGTGATTCCCCCCGTATTTTGCATTTTTCTGTCAAAAATTTTGACATTGTCAGTTTCTTAATATTTCGTTTGATTGTTTCAGTTTACTTATTTCAAAATTTTATAGACTGGGAAGGTTAAGAGTTTGATATATTGTACAGACATATTGTACATTTGGAGACATTGTGTTGCTCTATATAACACATTTGGTTATTCATTTGACATAAGGGTGTTGTCACAATGATGTCCTCGCATTTTTGCTTATCACCAGCCCAGTAGTCAGCACTTCTGTGTTGACATGAACTATCATTGATATGGTCATAATTATAAATTAACTGTTTACCAAACTTTGAATTTTTGAAATACTAAGGCTTTTCTACATCAGGAATATATTACCTTAGCTGTATTCTTTATTCGAGTGTCACTGATGAGTCTTTTGTAGACGAAACGCGCATCTGGTGCAAATATAAAATTACAATCCTGGTATCTATGATGAGTTTATTTCCATCATTTTGTCTCTTCTTTTGTTAGGTTGCACTGCCTCCTCTTTACTTTGAATCTTGTGGAAGTGGCCAAATTCATGATAATCTTTGACGTAAATCAGTCAGTTTTAGTAAATAACTAAACATGTTTAAGTTTCCTTAGGACAAACAATTCAGTAGTTTTCTATGTTAAACAACTTAAAACTGAGAAATATTAAACTGCAGTTGTTATTGGTAATCATAACAATCAATATATATCTGGTAACACTACTGTTATAACGTTGTTTTTTTGGTTATTGTATACGTATGCGTATACCTGTTGTTATTTACATACAGTTGTGTGAAGTCATTATTAACACACATTTGAGACGGATTGTTAATGCCATTGTTAAGGTTCAGCATTTTCTCACTGTTTTCTCTATCTGGTGACAGTCTTCGTTAGTTTTTGTTACGTTGATCACCATAGTAAACGTTAACTGTCGATCAAATCTTATTCCTGCTGTTCCATTAACGTCCTCACTGAATACTAGTTTATACAAAGTAGTTTTGTGCGATATCTAGATATAAATTGCTTGTAAATATCATCATATATCATATAGTAAATATTGCCAGATAGTTGTTTATTTGTTTTTAGAATTTTCACATTGGTGTCTAATGTTTTGATAGTACCATATTTACCACCAACGTAAATTCTGTCATGTCCAGCAGTGATACCCCAACAATTGAATGCAACTTTAATTTTGTTTCCCAAATTTCGATAGATTGTTCATGAAAAAACTCATTTTTGGAAATTCAAAAAATCTATAAGATAGAAATTTGAAATAAAATATGATAAGATAGGTTTTATAATATGCTTTAAGCAAATAAAAAAAAAACATGGTGTCACCGAACTTGTTTCCTGCTAGAAGTAAACAATGAAAATTTCCTTATCATTCCCATATGTTTTGTCCTATAAGAGTTATCTCCCCTTTAATGGCTCAGTTGAAAAAAATGATCCTAAAATATATAAATATTTGTTTAAACATTTTGGATAACGCAATAAAGCATTTATTTTTATTCATACAAATAAACAGTCTTTTACATAAATTGCAAATATGTCCCAAAATTTACTGATTTAAGCAGAGAAGAAGACCGATTGTGTACTGCTATTAAATAATCAAAGATTGCGGTATACAGTTAATCTACCTTAATGCATTAAATGTGTACTATGTGTTGTACTAAACCTCACGGAAAGCTCTTTTTAAAATTTCAAACTATAGAAGGAAATACATTTTTTGTATGTTTGTAAATAAAATGATGTTTAAAATATTTTTCACAGTACAGAGAGCGATCTTGTAGGTTTCAGACGATCAAGTAGGGATGGATATGTTTAAGACTGTCTGATTACATCGAAAATAATACTCATGTTTTTATTTTATGAGAATATAAAAATGTGAAAATAGATATAATTTATCAAGTCAATTTTTTGCAAATATACAAGTATTACATAATTCGAACGTAACGACTATTCATCAAATAGAATATCCCGTTTTGAAATAATTGAGAAACTAAATTTATTGAAATTTGAAGTTTTTTCAAAACAACATTAGATAACATTTATAAAAAAAAACATAGAATTTGAAAAAATAAAGTCTGTGTTACAGATATTTACCGATGGCTCATTTTCTCCATAATGTTCATGACAAGAGATATTGTGTCGACAAAAAATCAATAATACTGTCTGGGATGATTTTTTTTATAAATTATCATTTATACAAAATGGAATATTTTTGAATGCATTTCCAATATGTTCTTCTTCCTCTAAATTCGTTTACTTAATTCGCAGCCAATCAAAATAAAGAGGTTATATATTGGTGTTTCTTTTTATAAAGTGGGAAAAATTTCCCAACAAAATACACTTTTATCTTAAATCAATGGAATAATTTTTTGGGTCAAAAAGGTTGCTTACTGAACGCACTCCTTTAAAACAAGAGAAAACAAACGAATTGAATAATGGAAAGATCAATAAACGGAAAACTATTATGACAGACAACAACTAACTACAACCACTGAACTACATGCTCATTCTTTTAGCATAAATAATGTTGCAGGTTTAAAAATGTGTTTAGCGGTAACCATCCCTAACCTTGGACAGTGCTGTAAAAGCAAAAGATAAGAGTAAAATAAA